TTTACTGTTCGGGCTGTGCGTCTCTGGAACTCTCTACCAGTAAAGATAAGACTCTCGCAATCATTTGACTCTTTTAAAATGCGCGTAAAGGAATTTTACCTATCACATTAGTTATTTTATTGAATTAACTGCTTTATTTTATTTATTTATTTATTTATTTTTCTTTTTATTGACAGACTATAGTTTTGTTTGCTATATTTATTTGGATAGTATCTATATATATTTGTGTAGTATGTATACGCTTATATTAAGTTATGTTTGTTTAATGTATGATTACTTAATATCTATTGTAATCATAAGATTATCATACACCCCCGTACTTTTAAGATAGTTCATCTCTACATCCAAAGGTTGTCTGGAAGAGATCGCTGTTTAGTGATAAGACCGCCGATTGTGACACATAGCTTAATATTGTTCTTTTTTTTTTCTTTGTATGTTTTGTATTTGGTGTTTGCAATAAAGTGTTATCTATCTATCTATCTATCTATCTATAATAATCGCATACATCTATATAAACTACATATATAAATTACATATATAATATTCATTTACAATGAAAAATCTCTGGTTTAATAATTTATGATACATTATTCGTTATTATTGTTGACTGTAATTTACAGTTTTTGGAAGAATGTACTATAGAGATTTAAAGAAAAATTTAATCTATTATATATTTAATAATTAAAAAAAAGGTAAAAATATTTGTGTCATACCGAGAAAAATTGCGGTATCTCTCTTTTTTAACCGAATTCCAAATCAAAAAGGAGGAGGAATTAAAAAAAAAGAATTTTGAAAATCGAACAACAATTGGCGCAAATATCGGTGAACATATATAAAAAATATATATATCGACATCGCGTCGAACATATAATCTCTTATGTCCTCTGCGTGTTATGTAGCTACCCGTAGATGAAAGACTTTTATAATCTGTCCAATAATTTAATAATTTTTAATGTTCGACCTCCGTAGCCGGAGTCGCAAACCGGTTTCAAGGTGTCGCTGTCTCTGAGGTTCCCGGGTTCGATTTCAGGTTGAGTCAATGCAGAAAATGAACTTTTCTACATTGTCCCGGGTCTGGGTGTTGTGGTACCTTTGTTGTCTCAGATACTCCATAATACGGGGGCTTTAGCTTGGAATCTGAGCAATGTATGTGATGTTGTTATATATTTAAAAAATATAATTATAAAAGTTATTAAAAAGTTATAATGATAAACTCAATCACTAATATTAAATTTGTCGTGAACAAGATAAATAATAACACAATAAACTGTAATTAAATCCCCGATGAAAACTTATTTTTTTTTTAATGTAAATAAACAAACAATGAAATCTTTTCTCTTTAAAATATGAGTAGGGGAGACTGGGGATGGTTGACTATAGGGGCAGGTAGACTAACCGCCAAAAACTCGTCAAGGACACGAGTATTACGTCATCCCAGCGCAGCCGCGCATCACTCTCCTTTTCCCGCTCAGTTGTCCGGAGCACCGCGTCGCGGACGCACGTTGTTTTCGAGCAGTTACCCGTGGTTTGTTTTCGTATCAGATAAGTAATATTTTCACATTACATATTTTTTCATACTATACCTACAAATTTTATGTTAACGGTTTGCCTATTAGTCAGAATGTTTCATGAGGGTATATTTAATCATATTTCATATTATTATTTCTTAAGTTGATGACAGTTTTAGGTTAGCCATGCCATTGAAATTAAAAATGACGTCTGGGGTTGGTAGACTAGTTTATTCCGGGGCTGGTTGAATAGTTAGTCAACCAACCCCAATAAAATTTGGAGTTTAAAATAGCTTGTAAATGAACCTTTTATTCAATTATTAATAATTGTTTTGTTACAGTACAATGAGAACCTACAAAAGAAAGACTGAACGAGCTGATACACCAAAAGATGTTGTGGAAAGAGTTTGTCATCTAATAATTTTTGAGAACAAAAGTAATAATGCAATTTCAAAACAATATGACATTCCCTATAAGACGTTACATCGTTATGTGGCGAAACTAAAGGAGAAATTTGAACGTAATCCGAACTTGACGAGAGCAGAGCTAACCTTGGACTCAGTGGGATATATCAAAAATAGGCAAGTTTTCACTAATATAGAAGAAGAAGCTTTAGAAAGTTATTTGAAGAAAGCCGCTGATATTTATTATGGATTGACACCATATGAGACTCGAAAATTAGCATATCAGTTCGCCATAAAAAGTAACAAAGCTATGCCTGATTCTTGGAGAACAAAATTGTTAGCCGGTGAAGATTGGTTAGGCTCGTTCCTCAAACGTCATCCTTCTTTATCGATCAGGACACCTCAAGCAACAAGCCTTTCAAGAGCGACATCATTCAACAAACACAACGTCAGTATGTTCTTCGCTAACTTAACTACTGTATACCAACGTTTAAATCTAAGTCCTGGTGATATCTGGAACGTCGATGAGACAGGTATAACAACCGTGCAAGTACCTAATAGAATAATAGCTCGACGTGGTATTAAAAGTCTAGGTAAAATGACATGTCTGTTTCAGCTCTTGGAAATATGGTTCCACCGTTTTTTGTATTTCCCCGCGTACATTACAAGCCCCATTTTGTAAGAGGTGGTCCGATAGGATGTGAAGGTGATGCTAATCCGTCTGGCTGGATGAAGGAAGAGAACTTTATAAAGTACGCCAAACATTTCGTGCAACATGTTAAATCTAGTAAAGAAAAACCTGTACTTTTATTGTTAGATAACCATGACTCGCATTTATCAATTGAAGCGTTGGATTACTTTAAAACTAATGGAGTGACAGTTTTATCATTTCCTCCACATTGTAGCCACAAGCTACAACCTCTAGACAGATCTGTGTACGGACCATTGAAAAAGTATTTCAACCGAGCATGGGACAACTGGCTGGCTAGTAACCCCGGAAAAACTATTACAATTTATGATATACCGGAGCTACTTAAAACGTCACTACCATTGGCTGCTACAATTGAAAATATTCAATCAGGATTCAGAGTTTCCGGGATTTCACCATTGAATGAAAACATTTTTCCTGATTCCGAGTTTAGTGGTTCTTATGTGACAGATAGGCCGATGCCCACTGCCCATGATGGTGGTAATCCTTCATCAAGTGATGTAAGCACTGTTGTTGATCCATCGACTTCCGATGCATCTAACAGGTTGCCTATTGTCGAAGAGATTCTAATGCCTGATCAACATACACTAACCGAAACTCACTCTCCGGCACCGCAATGTTTATCTGTAAATATAGATCAGATCACTACCACAATGCCCTCTCCTACAAGATCTTTGATCACTGATTGTGAGTCACCTTCTATTTTACACGAGACATTAAATTCTGTATATGACTCGGAGCTGAGGGGAAACCTCAAAACACCAGAAAACGTAAATCCTACAGAAGCAAATGTGCCCCCATCGTTACACAATCTAAACCTGGCCTCAAGTTCATCAGCAACACTTGAAGAGATAAGACCCTTTCCAAAAGCGGCGCCACTTTTAGAAAATAGAAGATATATTCGGAAACGTAAAAGTACTATTTATACAGACACTCCTGAAAAATTAAATCTTATGGATATGAAAAACAAAAGAGAAGATTTCAAGAAGAAAAAAGCAGAAACAAAAAAACAGAATAAAAAAAGGAAAAGGAAAGGGCAAAGGAAAAGGAAAGGGTAAAGGAAAAGGAACGGATAAAGTAAATGAAGTTGCTGATGACACCGTGGATGAAAATGACGGTAATGTGGATTCAGATGACGAGAGCACGATATGTTTAGAATGCACTGAATCCTACGCTGATAGTGTTCCTGGCGAACAATGGATTCAGTGCATAACTTGTAAGTTATGGGCTCATTCTAAATGTGTAAGTGGTAATCTATTGTTTTTTGAATGCAAACATTGTACTTCTGATATTGAAGACTGATAAGTTGTCAGTTTTTTTTTTAAGAATATGAAGATTAATATGAGACTGATTAAGAGTTTAGTTTAAACTAAGTTTAATGATAAAATAAGTACAAAGATAATTAAGTTTAAATACTAATTATTGATATTAATCAATACTGTTGTTTCAATAAAGCAATGTGCATTTAAATAAAAAGTTTTTAAATAAAAGCTTAATTACATTTTAAAAAAGGTTTTATTATTTGACTTTTCTCATAATTTGTCGCTTATTGATACTTAAGTCTACTTACCCCGGGTATATAGTCAATCTACCCCGGACCCGGGGTAAATTGATTAAGAGTTGGTGTTCTGTAAAATGCATTAAATCATGATCCTTATATTGAATAATGAACTAGTTGTTATATTATTTTAAATATGTATGATTTAGTAAAAAATTAGTCAACCATCCCCGGTCTCCCCTATACCTGTAGATTGGAAAAAATTATGTCGAGCAAATAAACAAAATCTCTTTTTCTAAGACATCATGATGTTGAATATTTTATAAAGACATTTAATATTACTTTATAAATATTTTAATATACCTATTATATGAAAAATATGAATATTGTTAAAAAGCATGTTTTTTTTTAACGGAACTGACTTCAAGCTTTAAAAAAGTGATAAAATGCTTATCTGAAAAGCTACTTATTCAAGAAAATGCTATATAAATAACCTACTGAAAATCTCTACCGAAAAATGTAAGGTCAGTTCCATTATTTGAAAAAAAAAATTGGTTTGGATAAATGCTTTTCTATTTTGCAAATTTCAGTTCTAAGTGTACATTCGATGATCAAAGGAATGAAAGATCAGCGAACAGGGGGCCAATTCTACTAAATAAATTCTCTTCGTGACCACGGCTGCTGTAACGTAGCCGAAATTTTCGTTTTCGATTCGATTTAAACAAAATTTATTTAGTAGAATTGGCCCCCTGAGCTAGCATAGCAAGCGTTTAACGGCAAGATCAAAACTTTTTCAGTTTACATTTCTTTTCTCCAAAAGATTAGGTTAATCAAGAAAAAAAAAACAAAACAACAACAATTAACAATATTTATTTTAAAACTTAAACACAAGCGCAATCTGATTTAAAAACATTGCCAGTATCAACATAAGCCGTGCCAAAAGACGGCACGGTGCCATCCAAGCTAACACTGCCGAAGACAGGGAAACTGCCACTGACCTTGATCATGCCACCGACTGGTATTTCACCGTCAACATTGACCTCGCCGAACTGTAAGTTTGGCAAAATTTCTGTCACCAGTGGCACTGGTTGAGCACTGGCAGGCCAGTTATTGATGTACTCGGGTGCCACAATTTGAGTGGCAGTACCAGAGAGGACATTGCCAGGCACCGTATTTGTAGTGATTGCGTTTGGCAAGTTGAGAGTGCTGCCGACTAAAGGCAAAGCCAGTGCTTCCTGTAAACATAAGTTAGTAATTAAAATTTAAAATGCTGAAATATAAATTACATTTATATAAACATAATAAAATGATTAAAGGATAACTTACTTTCAATAAAGCTACTTGAAGACAGATCAATAAGATGCTTAGATGTGCCATTTTCGGATTGTACGTTACGAATGTGTATAATCGAAAAAAATATTCATATTTATTTAGTAAAATTAGATGCTTTATCGTACAATTAGGTCATTATTACCGAAGTATTGATTGTATTTTACGCAATTTTATATGTAATATAAGTTATAAATTCTTTATCACTAGTTTATTAATCAGTTTCAAGTGAAACGATTTCGTTATAAGCATTACTGTAATTTGTTATTTTACTGTAATCTAATAAATTGTAAGTTTTATTTTACTGAAGAAAGAAAGGATTAATTTTAAATTTTGTTTAATATCTCTCAGTATTAGATTGTTGGTTGATATTACATCTAGAGTCATGTACACAGATAAAGTATGCGCAGCAAATAGCAAGTAATTACTTAAATTTTTTAAAACATGGGGGTGTCATCACTAACCCTTAGCAGTACCGTTTCAGTGACCTTAGTCTTGTCTTTTTAGAGTCGTGAGTCTTGTCTTAAAAAAGGTACTACTAAGGGTAGTATTTTTTAAATAAATACCAATATGACTTTAATTCCTTTAGTTGTTTTCTATTTGCCAGAGTTAATAAAAAGTATGCACTCTTGGCCCAACATTGAACTGAATGAGATTGCTTTATTAAGTTTCTGATTATAAGTATCTTGGATTTTTGTAGAAACTGAGTGACAAACTACACTAACCGCAATTTTTCAATTAAAAAAGTGTCGTATGCTCATAATTATGTTTGCAAAACGTTTGTTATTTTAAGTTGTTAATATAGTAGTTATATTAGTTATAGTAGTTATATAATCATATATGCAAAATTCTTTCATTTATTTTATTGTATGTATTTGTAAAAGGTGTAGATAAATTTTGCTAGCGTTTTAATTTCTACGGATTACGGCATTATTGGAAATAAACTTAATGGCGGTATATTATAATAACACGTGAATAATAATATCACGTTCTCAAGATAAGTAATATCAGTTACAAAATTAAAGAATATATAACGTTTAGTTGACTAAAGGAAAGATATTAATTCAATTTTGATTCAATACTCGAAAAGTATACTTTAACAAAAATGTCTTATTTGGCTTTATTTTTTCTTAGCTTCGTTTGTTGGACACAGGTAATTAAAAATAGTGTAAATATAAACTTTTATACAGCTCGGTAACCGGACTCAAATAATTAGATAATGTTGCAATGGTTTATTAATAAATAAATAAATATTCGACAAGATCACATACATTGCTCGGATCTCAAATTTAATACCTAAATGACTTCTAAAAAGAAAATCTGTAACAATAAAGGTACAGTTACAATATATAGAAAAGTTCGAAATCGAAAACGGGACCTGCCCTGCGATCCTGTAAAACTTCAAACCCGAATTCGAATCCACTCAGGTGTCCGAATTCACTTCAAAAAGCGACATCCGCTCAAACTTTAATTGGTAATAATGTTTCGTGACATAAGTGAACTGAGTATCGAAATGATATAGGATTAAAATATCTATGACACAATTAATCAATTAATTTTGTTTAGTATTTTTATACAAAAAATGGAATCAATTTACTAAATGACGAGAATTCGGACACATGAGTGAATTCGAATTCGGGTCTGGATTTTTACGGAATCGCAAGGCAGAAAGACTTTGTTATGTATATTCTAACACCTGTTTCTGAATACTTGTATTACTTAATTTGCAATTTTTTATATATGTTATCTGAGTATTTTATAATTATTGTTTTCAGACCTCCTACGCAGTATGCCCATGTATGCAGAAATTTATTGGAGTAGACCTCAGCGGATTCGCCAAGCCAGCCAATACAAACTCACTGGCAGTCACTAGTACCGTTCCCAGTGCACTTCCAGTGCCAGTCTCGCCTATAAGTATTACCAACGTCGGCACCAGTAATATTCCCAGTGCGTTCACATTGCCATTGTCCACTGTGTCCAATAACGTCGTGACCAGTGCGGCTCCAGTCAGTAACGTGATTGGCAGCCCTGGCTTAATCAATCCTGGGCTCGGTCTAGCTAATGCGGGTATGAACAATTACGGGTATGGACTTGCCAATACAGTTGGTAGTGTCAGCGCTGGATTAAATGGCGTTAACGCTTTTGGAATTTTGTAATAAATGTTTGTTTTAAACGTTATTATTAGTATTATTATAATAATATGAGTGTTGTTATTGTAATTAAGTGTTTTGGGATGACAACATTAATAAATATTATGAAAAAATAAAAAATGAGATTATTATTTACCATTTTGTAGATAAGTTTTAAAATTTTACCGGTTTAGTAGACTGTTGTCATATGATGATGAAATTATGAACTAAAACTCGAAAGAATTAAAATACATCTGTGGGCTCGATTTAAATACAATATATTTGACCTCGAACGAAAATTCGGAAACACTCAAATCGTTCTTATAATTTTAATAAAATTATTACCGTTTCTTGTGGTACTCGGCCTTTATTTCCGGAAGGGATCTGACGTAAAGATATAGACAGATATGCCAAGTGGGGCATTTTATTTTTTCTATATTTTAAATATTATTATCGATGTATGAAATTTGTACTAATAGATTTCTGAAGATTGCTCGTTTAAATTGATTAGTAGTTGCATTAGTACAATCTATTTCAAAAACAATTATTTTTTACCCATTCTCTTAGTTGGTTGCGAGTATTATGTAATTAATAATGTAGTAATATGTAATCACTACGCGGGACTATTAAGGGTTTGTACTCACAAATCCTAAAATACACAAATACAAATACGGCTTAACGTGTCTTCCGAAGGGTGGAAAAGTTCGAGATTGGTAATAATTTTTGGTCACCTATCCCATGGCAATCCCTCGCAAGCAACATTTGCTGCTTAATCTTCGCATTTCACACCGAGCACACTCGCTACTGCGCAATCGAGCTCCTTCTTTCAATATTATCTGTGGCTAAAGAAATAACTATTTCAAGAAGTTTCTTCCAGTATTCAAATTGTATATTACATTACAACACTTTTCAGAATCATAATTATGGTTGAAGATTTTTAATTAACACTTTTTATATTAATAAATATTACGAATTATTTTAAATTATCTTTATTATTTAATCAACATTTCTCCAATCGATTAAAGACCTAACCCGACACGTATGGAAAAATACACACAAACACATGTTACAACTTGCTATTTATGAATTTCCATTACTTCCGTCTTAGTAGCTGCCATTTAAGAATCCGTCTAATTTTCAATGCTAATTGGAATCGCGCGCGTAGCTTAGGCCATAGAAGGGGCCAAAATGCATTTAGGCATATTTTACAGGGGGTTTATAGTTTACTTGTTGTTTAAGTTTTTATAACGATCCTTCATTTTTACATTTTTTAATATAATATACCATATATGTGGTTGATGTTGGATAATTAACAGATAATACGTTATTTGAAAAAAAAAACATTGCTAAACTCAGATATTATAGGATTAAAAAATATCACCTATTCCAGAGACTACTTCAGCCATAGGTACATATATTCTAAGAAGAAAATATTAATTTATAATAAGAGGTAAATAGTGTATTCGAATTGAACATATAAAGACAATTTGAAAAATCCATTACTATAGAGGACATAAACAATGTTTAATATGAAATTATGGACTTAATTTTTTTTTCATAACAAAAATTACTTAATCGAGCGTGTTTTTTTTACGTTTCGGTCCTTTACCGGCTCTGTGTTCCCTTTTTTAAGTCCTTTTATTACTATTTGAAAGTAAGCTTTTAATATCCCATTAAATGTATTTTTTTATCTATTTTCTATTGATCTATGATGTTTCTTTACGTTACGTCATAAATTAATAGTCTTATTAAAAGCGTATTGGATTTTCTATAAATATGAATGTGATAAAGATATTCTAATAGGTAAGGTTAACAATAAAGTACACATCAAAAATATATTGAAAACAATCTCCGGGTAAAATTCAATCCGGTATTATTGAAGATTTGACAAAGAAGAGGTTAATTAACGCCGGGTTGACTATTATTAACCAATTAAGGTTTAAAATTGCTTGGAGAAAATTGATAGTGTAATTTAACCTGCAATTAACTATAATGCCAGTTTTTTAATATTCACAACAGAAATATTTCAACATACCCTGAACTCTTATTAATATTAAAGCAAAATATTACTTGAAGCTTGTTAATATTTCATAGGAGCCGGCTTTTGATCTTTGCTATTTATATTTATTTCTCAGTAACTGAGTTTAATAACATCACTCTGTCTTCGTCACTTGTCAAGTGCCATAAAGTAATTTAAGATCAACATAATAAAATATATTTTCTCTTATTTGTTGTCAAGATTTTAAGTAAATAACAAATCCAAACTAACTGTATATTCCAATTTCTAACTATATATTTTTAGTCCAATAAGAAGCAGTTTTTGAAGGCTCAGTGTTATTATAATTATACATAATAAATTTTTTAACTTCTTGGTTTATAAGAAAATAATTGAAAGGGTATTTGAAAATGTGTTCAAACATTAATTTAAAATATTTTTATTTACAATAAGTTACTTAAAAGTAAATTGACAACATACTTATATTAAATCAAATGCGAGCGATGCTAACACCGTAATTGGCATTACCTATAGTAATTGGCAGGCCGTCGTTGATTATACCTATACCGCCAGACCCGCAACCACATGTGGCAATGCCAGACCCAGTGCTTGGTAATGCCCCTTCAAAGGAGACCACGCTTAAATATGGCAATTTTCCTGCTACATTCAGATATCCATCTATTGAGTTTTCAGAAACAATAGTAATGCCATTCGGTGATATTGGAGAGTAAGAATTGACTAGAAAAGGTCCGCTTGGTATTGTATTTAGCATGCTTAAATCTGTTATTCCATTGCTTGATACTAGATTGCCAATGCCATTGTAATTATTAATTACATTGGCAGCAGTATTATCCAAACCTGGTAAGCCACTGATCGTAGTAATACCACCGATGGTGTTGCCAATGCCATTGTAGTTATTAATTACGCCAGAAGCACTATTATCGAAACTTGTTAAGCTACTGATTGTACTGCCACCAATAGCGTTATTAGCGAGATTTATGGGATTGACATTGCTGACCACGCTGCTGACTCCATTTGGAGTAATACTGCCAATCTCAGTCCCGCCAACTATTCCGCCAGATAAAGCATTACCAACTAATCCGCCAGAAATAGCATTTGAGCGAACATTTGAGTTGGTAATTAAAGTTTGTCCAGGGTAAACAAACTGGGAAAAGGTAACCTGAAAAAAATTTAAGATTTGATTAATTTCTCATAACATTATACTTTTATTTAGAAAAATACTATTTAAAAATACCAATCTAGCTTAACTACTGCGTAGCTTTTATACAAAAAACAACATCATTAGAATCGGTCTACTACTGACGAAGATATGGTGAGACGTATACAAAAAAAATAAATAACATTCAGTCGAATTCAGAACCTCCTCCTTTTTTGAAGACGGTTCAAAATGGGAAAAGACGATGTTATTAATTTTATAGCTATTGAAAATATAATAATCGCATTTTAACTGGAATAAAAAACTATGAATGAATGAATAAAATAATATTAAGAAACAAACCTGTAACAAAAATGCTATAAAGCAAATACTGCGATAAATATTTGACATATTCAAGTTATTATGTGTTTAAATGAATATAAATAATTGTCCTTATTTTACGCTAAAAATATCAGGACTGATTTTATGTTTGAAACAAACTCGTTTTATACAGTAACATCTAAAGATTGTAATGTTAATGTGATAATATAATTTCGATATTCTTATCAATATAATTACTCGTTTTTGATGTGAAATGAAGATGTTAAGTAATGATGCTATCTATAATACTTAGATTTTTATACATATTTGGAAATTTCAAATCACGTTGTAGACAATCTGTTGTAATATGTCATAATGTGTAATGTCTGAGTTACGCTTTGTGATCATATGCGATTATTAAAAGTCTTTTGATTGAAACAATTATTATATGACATAACACAAATACATAGATTTGAAGATTAGTCTGCTTTTCCTTTTGCTATACTATGTACTTTTTGTACATTTACTAGTTCATCACATACTGTATATGCTACTAGTTCTTGTTTTGTTTATTTGCTTAATTGCTTTGTGTTCAATTCGTATGCACTATCTGCTGTTAATGCAATGATATTTATATTCCCCTACATTGCTAGGTTGCTTGGCAGAAATGGCTATCACGCCATAACACTGCCTATTGTACATTATTTATGTAAGATTTTTGTTTATCTATTTTTTTCGAATTCTCCGAAGAATGCAGCGCTGTGACGTCATAAAGGTTCAATCAAATGAACCCTACTTAAAGGGCAATCAAAGTTTTATTTCGTTGAAGCTCTATGACGTCACGGTGCTGCGACTGCGACGTTTTTAAAAGAATAACATATCTTGACGTCTTCTTCAAAGTTAAAGCTTGTCAAAATAATTTTATATTATTAAATGTTATAGTATATAATTTATTAATTTGATTAATTTGAATGAGATTCCCCACCTTAATATAATTTTCTAGCGCCCTCAAATTCATCGTGATTTAAATATAACAGATTTTATTTCCTAGCAAATATTAAAAAATACGTTAATGTCTGTGTTTCCTTATTGTGATATTTTGAATGATGATACACAGAGATAGAGTTACTTTTATATGCGATCTCTTGCCTTCTTGCTATTTCCAGCTCTCACTGGCTATTGCTTACTTTGAAAAATACTGTACTAAGTGAAATGCTTATTGAAAAAAAAATCGAATACTCATAATTTACTATGTTAAACTGCTCTACTAATAATTAGAGAGGTATCACATATACGAAAGTAAATGTAATAACTAAAGAAGAATTTAAGCGCTCCAATGAATTGATTAATTAAAATAGAAAAAGATTGAAATAAAAATCGGTTTAAAATCTTACAATAATTTTATTTATTTTGATACGTTTACAGCGGTAAGCTATTGCATGCACAGTTGCCAGCAATGGAGACGACTCCACTGGCGGGTATTTGGCCAGTGAAGGAGACCGCACCAAGAACTGGAATTTGACCACCGATTACGGCTGTACCACCTGCGTTGAACTCTCCACCCACAGCGAGCTCAGCGTTGCCAGTGGCGGTAAACGGGCCGGTGACTGGCACCGCCGCGTTGGCAGCTACATTTTGCACGCCAACGCCTGCTAAGCTGCTGCCGCCGATGCCAGCACCGACTAATCCAGCGTTGTTAACGCTAATGCCACTAATACCACCGTTATTAAGACCGATGTTGCTAACTCCAGCATTATTGAGACTGGCACTGGTAACTCCAGCAACGTTGTTTAGGTTAAGGCTATTGACTCCAGCGTTGCTGAGACCTATTCTGCTTGTTCCAATATTGCCAGAAATCACTTGACTAAATGCGCACTGAAACAATAAATCAAATTAACTTAATTCATCATCTTATAGGTCTTTCCTATGGAGGAAATTGAATCAAATCAAATCGGAATGGGCAACCAACGCGGGTTGGTTACTTATTATTAGCTTTATTGTTTTTTTTTAATTGATTCCTCGTGTTCTCACTAACTCTACAAATATGAAATCTAAAACGCATTAGTTAGAGGCACTTTTAGAAGTCGAAACACTATACCATTGATTCATAAATCAACGGCGGTAACAGTTTTCGTGATTCACGAAAATATAAGTTTGTCAATTATTTTTCACTTTTGAATAAGCTTTTTTGAAGTCAGTTTTATTGTATTATTAGTCAATTATGTTATACTAGGGTGGATTTACTGTTTTTGCGACATTTTCATTGCTACTAATCAGTCAAAGCGTAATGTTATAAAGTCTTTAATGTTATATAGCTCAATAAATGAACTATTCTACACAAATTTTTCAATTCGAACCAGTAGTTGTTGAGGTAAAAAAAATTCTTCAGCTTTATAATATGTATTAGTGAAAATAGACTTATAAGCTTATATCATCAATTCACTTACCTGCACAAAGAAAGCATGGAGGCAGATAGCAAAAATTGCTTTAGAAGACATGTTTTTAATGTTGTTATTGTGTATATAAAATTAATGTGATGATAGAGCTTGTTTGCTTATGATTATACTATTGTAAGTTGACTGTTTATATAAGGATTTGTTAAATTCAAACTTACATAATTCTCATAATGATAAAATTTAACATAAATGTTACATAATTGTGTTATAAATAGTTACCGTGTTTTTCAACCGATGAATTTGCTCAACATTTTCAAGGGAATTGATAACATTCATTTGAGTAATTTTCTGACGATTTTTGTGTAATACTGCCAATCTTAGTCCTGCTCCAAGAATTGAGTATACGATGCATAAAGGCCTATATTATAATATTCTATTCTTATCCATCCATAGCGTTTGATAAATACTCAGGAAAATTACAGAAAATTTTATATAAAATATTTGATTTTTTTCTCAACGTCTCTCGTTCAGTTAAGAGTAAACGTATTCTATCTTATACTGATGAAATATCATACGTTAGATGTACTCAAAAAACTATTGCCAAAACTAACTAATGCGATTTTTAAGGTTGTAAATATTAAGAACAATAAATTTTCTTTTACTTCCTAAAAGCACAGCACATTCACATATAGTTTAACAAAATTTCTCACCCAGAAATGAGTCTCACAGCTTTTTTCTGAATAGAGAAAAATGCAAAACCTAAACTGATTATTTTTAATAATTTAAGTTTTTATGTTTCACAAGTCACAAAGTCCTAGTTTTATCAAACTGCTATAAACTGATAATTGAAAAAATAAACTCACAAACAAAAAAAAAAATAATTAAAATGTGACGTTTAACTACAGTTTCAGACGTTCTCAACTTTAAATTCTCAATTCAGAAACCGGGAGTTAGCGAGAAATATATTGTGCGATATATTGGTGGTATATGTACTTAAATAATGTATCTTATGAAAATTGTAATATTAAATGAAAAAAGCTTATAGCAAAAAATTTGTTTAAACGAATTTAAAAACTTGAAAACCTTTAATGTTTATAAATGATATCGTAAATGTAACAAAATTTTCCGCCGGAGCCGATTTTATGATCACTAGGCCTAGCACCTGCGAATTTCCCGCATGCAGTAATTTTCATTTGATATGCTCAGCTCACTCGGCTCGGCATGCTTTTTGTTTTTGGCCACATTTCAAAAGATAAATTATGCCTACTTACAAGTTTATTGTACAAGCTTTCTACCAGGAGCAGTTTTACCCGTTTGATCATGTTTTTTACATATTATAAACCTTAATATTAATGAAAACAGCATTAATAGTAATGTTAAATATCTTAACGTATAGACAGCGTGAAGCAACTTTGTCTTATACTTTGTATAGATTTCTAAATAATATAAGAAAAGTATCATTATTCACATACCAGAATAACGTGGTGCCCACTTTAGTGACCATTGAGGTTAAATTACATGTTGTTTTAAACTTTATCATAAAAATGATTGTTAATTACGGAATATATCATACATATATCTATCGAGCATTTTGCTAATATTTATGTAATAATTGCATCTGTATAGAATCTTAACGACTTGTGTTTTGTTACTGTACTATCTACCTAAAATTCATTATTGTTACTAAAACGTTTTCTATACATTAATTTGATATATGATAATATTGGACTTCAGGTAGATAGTACAATGTAAAAATTCAAACAATTGAGATTCTATCGATTCTGTGAAAATCCCAATCCCAATTAAAACTCATTCAGGTGTCCGAAGTCACTACAAAGAGCGACATCCGCTCTACATTGAATGAGGAAGTAAAAAAAAACATTAGTACCCGAAATCAAACTAGATGTCGCTACGGTACTTTCTTGATTTCTTGATACCATGACAACCATTGGTTTTCTTTTATGTATAATAGTAAATTAATTTTCAAAACTCAATAAACAACTTATATTCTATTTGTACTTTTTCGTATTTGTATTGATATCTAATTTTCGAACTTTGCAAATATTTGCTTTATAATATGTTAGTTAAAAGGAATGGAAATGACTATCTTTGGTCCATCCGTTTCCTGCAAAATCAACTTTTGCTAGAGTCGCCATCTAGTGAGGTACTTTGATAGTCGTTTCTTTTTTTTCTTTAAATACTTCCTCATTGGTAATAACGTTTTGTGGCAAAATTGAAGTGAGTTTCGATATGACATAGGAATAGAATATCTGAGACACTTAGGAATGTTCAATGAATTTTAGAATCAATAGAATTTCTCCACTAAATAACGTGAATTGGGACACATGAGTCAATTCGAATTTGGGTCTGGATTTTTGCAGAATCGCAGGATTGATCCCGAAAATAAACAACCATGCCTTAGCTAATTGTCGCCCATTTATTAATTTTATAAAATGTCTTTAATCAATGGAATAATCGAAATATAGGATAAGTACATTGAATTACTTAATAAGTAGAGATAATTATTTATTTAAGTTATTATGTAAATATTATTTAAGTACTAAAATAAGTGTGTTAATAATATGTAACAGTGATATCCATTACATAATTTCTTTTATATAAAAGTGATAATATCACATCAGTTGGCATTTATATTGTACAAATAAATTCTCACAAACGAACTTTAAAAATGTCTTACAAATCCTTGGTTGTTATTGCTTCAATACTATTTTTTCAGGTAGGGATTTCAATTTGGATTAGTTTTTTTAATTATATTTTGAAACAGGGCAATAAGTGAGATTAGTATTTAGCGGATTTGGAAAAAAAGAAATTCAGAGTGATTATGATGAAGTATGATTATACATACAAATTTTTATTTTGTTTCAGAATGTTTACAGTCAAGTTATCCCTACATCTTCGTTCTCTAATTCTGCTGTGCCAGTCACCAACATTGAAGTGGGCAACATTGGTTTGAATTTAGCCAATAGTGCTACGAATCTGGCCAATGTTGGTTTGAGTTTGGCAAACAGTGGTGCAGTTGTTGGGTCCGGTTTGAATGCGGGAACTTTTGGCGGTCTGTCTAGCGTTGGCTTTAGCGGGCCTTTAATCGTGACTAGTGCATCGCCAATTGCTCCTAGTGGTCTCGTTATTACGTCTGAGAATGTTATTGAGGGCGTTCTTTCTGTCAGCGGTACGTTACCTTATTTGAGCGCTGTCGCCTTCGAAGCAGCATTACCGACTGCTGGATCTGGCGTAGCCACTTGTGGTTGCGGGTCTGGTGGTATTGGCATAATCAGTGACAGTGTACCTTCAAGTACAGTGACAAATTTTTCCAGTGGTCAATTTCTTCTATAAATTAGGTAATAGTTTTAATAAATTATTAAACTAATGTAAAAATATAATAAAATAAGTATTAATAATAATGTTTGTTTTTTTTTTGTTACTTACTAACATGGCCTTGATGGCGTTGATGGATTTGACAATGTTTTTGGTTGATTTATAGAAACCTTTAAGTCCGCTATAGCTGTAATATAAAATATTCGGTTAATAGATGAATGGGAATAAAGAAAACTGTAGGTATATATACATTTAAAATTATGAATTAGGTGGTCCACAAGTTGTAAGTGGATGTACTTATTCATTTACCTTAAATAGATTACTAGCTTTTCGCCAGCGGCTTTACATCCTGCACCCTTAGTCTCGAACGTAATCGCGACCGATCGACATTGCAATTGTGCCGCTCCGCGCGTTTGATTGGTTCACTAGCATACTCTAGCGCTAATGTACCTATAATTTATAACCCCACTCAAACAAACATCAAAACGTTATCTGTTTTTAAAATTAGTATTATAAAATAACAATAATAGATTATCTTTTCATTTAATAGTGCAAGGGATGTCTTTTATGTTTTTACACATTACCTTTAGATTTATTTATTCTTTATTGCCTAACCAAGGACATATGGCGGACTTAATGTCATAGAGGCATTCTCTCCCAGTCAACCAGTTAGATTGTACAGAACAGTAGTAGGCGGTAAAGATTAAAAACCGTACATAAAATCGTAACTATAAGCATTAGCATATATACATACAATACATATACGCATATATACATAATATTAATATACATACATTATATATACATATACATTATAAGATATAACGAGTACTGAAATGGTGATGTCTGATTATGAAATGGTAGTAGACAGGAAATAGTGGTTACGACCTGCAGATTTAAATGCGAGTTTGTTATGGGCGTTACGAACGTCAAATGTGTTAGAGTGAAAGAGCTGGATACGTAGCTAGAATGGTGAGTAGGTGTTTGAAGGATCAGATTACCACTGGAGCGAAGATTTTGCTGGTGGGAGGCCCCGAGGAAGTGAAACCTAGATTTCGAATACTCAGGAGTACGTGGATCGAAAAGAATGTTGAAAAGAGTGCATACGATCCTTAGGTTTCTGCGCTCACGAATGGGCAGCCACTAAAGTTGTTGACGGAAGTGAGAAATGTGGATATATTCACGTAACCCGAAAACGAAGTGAATGGTGTTGTTAAGAAGACGATGCAGTCTGTTGAGAAAAATCTGATTGACATCTGAAGTACAAACATCAGCATAATCAAAAAGGGGATGTATAAGGGATTGAATTAACTCAGATTTAATGCAGGAAGAAAATCAAGACTGCGGTGTATTTTTCGACAGATATTTTCCATCTGCCCATCCCAGTGCAAACAACTATCAAGGACAAGCCCAAGGTTAGTTTAGATTCCGTTCCTGAAGTGTTCCCATCCATTTAGAAATGATGCTACATGTTATATTTGTTTTGTATTTTGTTGTATACAATATATTCCATACCAAAAACCAAGTCCGCCGATTTAATTATGTATTTCATATTTTAGAGGATTTAAAACATGATATTATATTCTATACGGCATGGGTTCGGTGACGTTTGGGATTTGAAGCTTTTATTGATGTGGTAATAAAAAAACCTATATACAAAAATTCGATGTTATGGAGTTCATTTCTAATAGCGATAATAAGAAACAGGATGTAATAAAAAGAAATAAATAATTCGTCAATAAGATGAACCAGACACGGCAAAATTACTATCTAAATAATATAAATTACTCGAGTGTCTATTATATTTTCTATTTTAATTTCGCACTCGTATTCCATTTATTTGATAGACACAAATTCGGCCGTTTGTATTTTTTAAGTTTTAAAACACAATGTTATTTATAATTTTATTAGAGATAAATTTAATTTATATGATAACGAAAATTAAAGAAATAACTTGATTACCGAATAAGTATTACGATTTAAACGATTTTATTGATTCTATCCCTATTTAAAAAACGTTCTAGTTCACGTTTTAAGTATTGATTTTATAAACTTGAATTGGTTATATTTTAGTAATTAAGACGTGTTATACGTCCTGGCTGGGGGGATCCTCCTGGCAGCGGCGGTGGCGCAGACAAAGGCGCTGTTCTACAACTAATTCATCAACTTTTCATTCACAATGCTATACTGGAAAATATTAAAATGAAAAATGCTAAAAAATCCACTTTGTCCCTGGTACTCTGAGATGGGACTCGAACCCACGACCTTTTGTAACCACTGAGCTACCCATTTATGGATATTTTTTTTTGCGTTTAAATATGCAAATTTAAATAAATATCTAATAGATAGTTTTTAATATATTTTACGCATTTTTCATTAGCAAACATAATAGTAAAAGTATTTTTTTGTTCAAAGCATATCTGGATCAAAATCAATTACATAACTGTTAAAAAAATATTTTTCAAACCTATTAATGCGTAATCTACATTTCATGACTAAAATGGTGGATATAATTTTAAAATATAAATATTACATTACTTCGATTCTAAGATTTATTATTATTTTTATATATCCTCTAAAATTTGAGATGCAAACCTATTACTGGCGTCCTAGGTTTACCATTTCTTTCTCTGTTTCTTTAGCACAATATTCATGGATTATACATATATTTTGTCTCGGGTCCACGAGTTGTGGTTTCTTCGTTGTCTCAGATACACTATAATATGTACAGCTTAAGCTATTTATGTACAAGTTGCAAAGCGGGGGCTCACTACATCACAACTAAGTATGTAGAAAATGTTCAAAGGTGTGACGTCATGTGATATTTCAACTCAATATATCACCATAATTTATTGATTACGTATATAACATGCTTAAGTATAATACGTAGACATTCTTCAATAAACTACCTGACGGACAGACAACAAAAATTAGTCATCATCTGCATATGGGCGTCCCGGATTTTCGTAGTTAGGGGTCCTACAAAACCACTCTGTTAAACGTGGATATTTTAATGTATAACAGATTTATTCTAATTGAGTTCTGCGCCATTTCTCCCTATCTTATAACAGACTCGCGCGAGTTGGTGTAAGGAAATGTTAATAAAAAAAAAACAATTCAGTCACTCGAAAATTAGTATGCAATACCGAAACAGATGACGAAACGTTGATATAATATATTTTATCCAGAAACCAAATTTAAATGTACCGAATTCCGCATAAAGTTAAATTTTTATCAAAAATAATTGACGTCGTCTTAATTAATAGTAATATTCTTCATCACAACAGTGTCAACTGCCAAATATCACGTCAAACAATTGACTATTTGAAGGAGAAAAGCATCAAAATTATATCTTATCTTCGATATTCTCCTGATTTATCGCCAAACGACTTATATTATTATTAAGACGAACAAAAATGCGTAGTATATTGTTTCCATAATCTCGAGAAGCTGTTGGAACCTTTGAATGTCATATTACAAAAACTGTTTCAATAATTATTTAAAACTTATGTAAATATGTATACTTAAATCTATTTGTTTAAATATTTATTTGTTTAATTCTATTTGTTTAAATAAATAAGTATGTCGTTTTCTTACTTCTTGAAAAAATTTAAAAGACAACTTTGATAAAATACTCGTAAATACTTTCAATTTTTCAAAAAAGGAATGATAAGATTGTTATAATATTATGTTAATATATAATAAAAGTGTAATTAAAATATCAACAATATTTATTTAAATAATTCATGTTAATATCCTAGAACAATATCACTGCCAGTGGCAAATCTCATTACAGTACTGATACTTGATATAGGTAAAACTTAAGCAATAATGCCAACATTACCAGAGCCGCAGCCACAAGTGGCGACTCCAGATCCAGACGTCGGCAAAGTTCCTTCGAAAGCCACAGCACTCAAATAAGGCAATTGGCCACTGACATTCAGAATACCCTCAATTACGTTCTCAGATGCAACTGCAAGACCACTAGGGCCGATCGGTGAGATACTGGTTACGACTATAGGCCCGCTGGCAACCACATCCAAGCCCGACAGACCACCAACAGCAGCTATGTTGGAACCGGCCAATAAACCAGTGTTACTAATAGTAGCCACGTCCGTGTTACCAATAGCTGATAATCCACTGTTGGCAAAATAACCAATGTTGGACAGATCAATGGCGTTGTTGACAGCAGTACTAGCGCCCACTACTGAGGTCGGGATTACTTGGCTTATAACATTCTGAAATAAAACAAGAAAGATAGGAGTCTTATTATAAAGCTGTGTGTTGGTAAAGGTTTCCTTGATAGTAGTAGAAAATACAAAAATACTTTGTTTATGTATTATAGCTTGAAATTCCAAAGTCATTGATGGGATAGGATTTAAAACAATGCGATTGCGTTCCGTTACTCAATGCACCGTTTTGTTCGACATTATTTAGAAATAAATTCAAATGACAAAACACAAATAAAATATCTCATATTGGAGGTTCAAGACAGGAATAGCAGGTGTTGGCAGACTATGAGTCAGCTGAATAGATGGCATAATAAGACGGCGGGGCTGACGTCAAGGTCTATCATGTTCTCAATAAGTTCAGTTAGTTATAGGCACAATCTTACGCAGTAGCTTTTAGTTTAATTAATCTTTAGAAGCATTTATTTCCTGTAGCATGAAGTATAATTAATACAAAGGTAGAGGCGCTAATACAAAATCGCTGCAAGTAGAGTTAACGCAGAGAAAGAGAAGTAGTGAGATCGAGGGGGAGAAAGAGAGGGCAATTAAAAACTCTCCGATAATGGAAAAATAATAGTTAATAGTAAAATTGGGAAAATGTTGAACTTATTTATGTGATATTTACATAGTTTTATTATAAAATAAAAATACATTAAAAAATATTGAGTAGTAACATGAGTAAAAAAATAAGTTAAATTAATTAATACCTGTACAAATAGTGCTGAGCAGCAAACGATAAGGAATATGTAAGTCATTTTTCAAGTTATATTGATTATAATTGATGGAAGGATAACTTGAGAATGATATTTAGTGAACCATTTCCCATTTAATATATATAAAAGGGCTTGAGTAAACGCATTCGTAACTTTATTACAAAATTTAATTATTTATATTGAACTAAAATACCGTCACTTACTGTTTACAATGAATAATTTGTTATATATTGAATCTAGAAAAATTATGAAACAGTTTCATTATATGGCATTATCATAATTATGTCTATGTAATAATAATTATCTGTGTAATAGTATTTGTTAATAAATATTTGCACTGAAATATAATAACTATTTAAACTCAGTGAATATTATAATTTATATCATTCGTTTTTTGATAAAAAATCACAATGTCATTCAAAACTGTTTCCGTTCTATGCCTCCAGGCTTTATTAATTCAGGTAATAAAATAATTATTATAATACTCGTATTATTTAGATGCAATAACCATTTTTTAAACTAACGATCTATCGAATTGTATCATTATAATTCAGTGTAATCCAAACAATTGTAAATTAGTATTAGCAAGTAGTTTTTTATTACTTTTATACCTTTCTAAATATAATAAAGAGTATAACAATCACTATATGTCCGTTTGTATTTTAATTTCAGTATGCATTAAGTCAAATAACCACAACAGGAACGGGTATAAGCAGAATCGGCCTTAGCAACGCTGAAATTAGTAGAATAGGACTGAACAACGCTGGAATCAACAGTATTGGCCTTAACAACGCTGGAATTAGTAGTGTTGGCCTTAACAACGCTGGAATTAGCAGTGTTGGCCTAAACAACGCTGGAATTAACAGCATCGGTCTTAACAACGCTGGCTTGGTGACCGCTGGTCTTGGAAATAACGTAATCAATGCAGGATATGGCGTTGGCGTGCAAAACGTGGCTGCTAACGCAGCCGTACCAGTCACCGGCCCGTTCACCGCCACTGGCAACGCTGAGCTCGCTGTGGGTGGAGAGTTCAACGCAGGTGGTACAGCCGTAATCGGTGGTCAAATTCCAGTTCTTGGTGCGGTCTCCTTCACTGGCCAAATACCCGCCAGTGGAGTCGTCTCCATTGCTGGCAACTGTGCATGCAATAGCTTACCATTGTAATCTTGTTATAAATTAAATTATAAATAAATTTGTTATTTGTTATCCCATATATTTATTTTATTTAAAATTGGTTTACCATCGCATATCATTTGATCATAAGTGCAGATGCAGATGCTCATGTAGATTCAGCCATGATCAATCACATTAATTTTTATTTTAAGAGAGACAGACACGATGTGAATTGAGTAAAATAGAGCGTCAAAATATATTTTAATTATTCCATTCGCAAACTCACACTTCGACTATACCTTCAGTTATTATTATTTTTGATTAAAACTTAATTACTTTTATGGAACAATTTATTATTAATCAAATTTTAGAAGTAATAACGTTATTTATCTGGAAAATAATTTACGTTTTAGCCAAATAATATCCATTTAAAAATTGTTAAATATGGGTATAGGCTACCTACAGACTTTTTTGTTTATGATAAACTTGAAATTAATTTATTTATGAATGTCCTCACTATAAATGTGCTCAGACAGCACATTCGATAAACACGGCGGTTCAGCGTATCTCAGAAGATGTCGTGAAACACAGATCCGAAAATCAGTTTTGAAATAGCTGAAATTTAAATAATTGCTCAATTATTATAAGTAAGTTATCAAAATCTGTTCTGTAGGCGATTTAAGTATACATATTTACATAAGTTTTAAATAATTATTGAAACAGTTTTTGTAATATGACATTCAAAGGTAGTCTGAAAGAGCTGGGCAGTTTTCCATTTTTTTATGGGTTGAGATGAGGCCAGCATTTTATAAATTCATCTTTTAGTCCCAAGCCAACATGGAACTAAAACTGAAACTATCTGTGTATTTTGATAAATTCTAATTGTAAGTGTAATTAGTTAGACTATTGATGAAGACATTGGAAATCTCCCTGAAATGTCAAAGTTTGAGGATAGATATGGGGGCTTAGAGCGTCATTTTTCTAGGCCACTTGGGCCTGCACCAGCATCGTCTATATTTACTAAAACTTAACAACAAAAATAAAACAATAACATCACGGAAAACAACAAGAAAGGCAGTAGCATTCACAATGGATGATAATCCCAGATTAAGATTTTAACAATTATGAATAAATAATAGTCTGACAAAATTAAAAAGCTCTACTACCGAAACGTTTGAAGGGGTTAGACAACGTTTTAAATTTGGTAGAGTTATAGTGACATGAGAATCGTGCCGAAACTATCCAACCCTGCTTCTTGAGGTTATTTACGATGAACACTTTTTATTGTAATAGTTATTAAATCATTTAAGTTAGTCATATAGTTATAAATTTGTTTAATAGATAGCTTAAATGATAACAGTTAAGTATAGCAGCTGGTATTTAAGTGGATATGTAACAAATTAGCCGTCAGTCTTAAAAGTAACATGATTATTGATATTTTATCACAAAGTATACCATAAAAAGAACCTTATTTAACTTCTGTCTAATGCTATAATGAATGGAGTATAGTAGGCTATGAATTTACGGCTGTACAGCTAAGCCACTGAGCTATTGAAAATGCAACTTCAAAAACTCTTTTTCGGAGCTAGAATGCACTTCATCATGATTAATGTTGATCAAGAGGTTATGACAAATATGTGCAACATCTTTCTAACACTTGATATTTCTGTATGTGGAAGTATTAAAGGTATAAATCACTCAGTATCAAGTGTGGAGTTCAGGTGCTGGGACATCGGCAGAGCGACCAGCTAACTCTCTAGCCTTGGTTCTAGCCATAGGATGTGACATTTTTGCTATGTTATGACGATGATTCGTTTTATTTTACTTTGTACTACGACTTTTACGTGTCGTTAGGTGATTCAATTGGTATAAATAACTAAGTTGGTAACACTGTTATCAAATTCATAATCATCATTCATTATAATTCGTTCGTGGTTACTAAAGTACATGTCGTATGTAGTATCCCATTCTTGAATGATGGCTAGAGAGTTAGGAGGTCTCACGCTCGGTGGTGGTGTGTGTTGAAACACATTATGGGAGTTTCAAAATGGGAAAAAAAAATTGAAAAGCTTGTTTTTAATATAAAATACTGTGTATCTAGTATACTACTCAAACAATAACACAGCAGCTCAGCACGTCTTTAAAGATGTCGTGAAACCTGACTCCGAAAAAGAGTTTTAAAATGGCTGAAATCTAAATAAATGTTGTGTTCAATATAACAAAATTACAAGCACATGTCAACGAACTTCAGTAATTTAACTGCTGTGCAAAGTTTAGGTGTAGGATCACGATCACCTAACTCTAACCATGACTCAACGCATAGATTAGCGATATTATGGTATTTTTACCATTTTACACTGACATGCCTTTTGGTGGACAAATGACCAAGTTGATAAACTCTGGCGTCTCAAATCCATGGTCATAATTTTTTATCATTCGTTAGTCTTTATTAAATTGCAAATTAGAAAAATGAAACGAAATATCGCCATAACATCGTGATTGCCGTAACCGAGTGGTTCACACGCCGGTTTTGATGTCGCCATCTCTGAGGTTCCGTATTTAAAATGTAAAAATTGACCTTTTAAGTCGTCCCGGGTCTGGGTGTTGTGTTGTCTTCGTTGTTTCATATACTCCATAATATGGGGGCTTTAGCTACTCATTTTTTGCATATTGTCTAATATTTATTTATTATATTAGAGCTAGAGTCGAAGCTTTAGACATGGTATCTCAGTTCAATCAGTTCAGTTCAATCAAATTCGTATCAGACTAGATAAAGAATGTAATACATACGTTGCAGAATTATTACTTGCATTATTTGTTTCATTATGAATAATGTCATAACAAAGATAACGTATAAGAATATGACATTTACAATTTCGATGGTAAAAGTGTGGATAAAGAAAGTTAAATAATATTAGATGATAATACACATATTGCATAAATTCAAAGAAAAAGAATAACTATATAAACGACAGTTAGTTTTATGATAGTCATTATACATACAGTTGTTTACCAATTCCATAGTTACATAGACAGTTATTAAAAAAAAGTTACTTTAGAAAATGTCTCCAATAACTGTTTTCGTTACCTGCTTCCTGGTTGTTTTCGTTCAGGTATTTATTTAATAATACAAGCATTTATACTAACAAATATACTCTATTATATCTTGGAGGGTGAAAATTTACAGTTTTAAAAATAATAACACAGGAATAATTATATATGTTTACTATTATTTAATGAAATCCTCATAAGCGCTGTAATTTTTGTACAGTAAAATTGCAACAAAAAATAAGCTCAACAAATTCTGACAAAACCAAAATAAAACACGTTTTTTTAAATAAAATTAGTTACTCCATTTATTTTGAATTATTAAAAAGAATTTAATAAGCCTCTGTCCACCCAAATCACAGTATTGCAGTAGTTTTGTAATAAAAAATAATAAATAGTTGCTGATTCCAATGTTTTATCTTAAATGAACCACCAGTTGTATAAAGGGAATAAACGCCAAATTTTGAAAAATCACTTTTTGATGCCAAATTGATCTTAAGTAGGGGACTCGTGCGTTAGGCTCAAGAGAGAAATAAAAACCACACTGTGTACTTAGCAAAATGCGATCTCAAATTTTTGTCAGTTGTAAGAAGGATATAAATCCGGGATTTATTTCTTTCTTACAACTGATGCAATAATTTCGTTGCAAACTATTCTGAACCTTATTGCGTTACATTTTTCTTCCGTTATTTGTTTTAGCGGGCCTTTGTCACGTGATTATTGACAGCTTGTGATTGGCTGTGGAATAAACTTTTAATTTGTTATTGCGTCATCCATAAGTTTACGTTTGAATCTCTGTGTATGTTTTTTGTTTAAAAAGAGCATAATGTCGAGTAGTAGTGATGAAAGTGTGATGAACACGTCTGTAGATGATCAGCCAGCTGTTAAAAAGAAAAGAGGAGTAAGAAATAAGCATTTGTATAAAAGTCAGGTGCAAAAATCACATCGTCTTCATGGCGAGGCCTACACAAGTACTTCTAGTGGGAAATATGTGGAAGCGAAATCGAATACTGGAGAGGAGTGTAAGTGCAAAAAGTTTTGCACTTTGAATTTTGGGGTAGAAGAAAGGCAAGATATTTTACTAAGTTTGTATAATGGAAGACCTAAAAATGAGCAAGACACATTTCTCATGGGTCTGATAAAATGTTCATCTGTCGCCAGGAGACGCTCTTCAAATGAAAATCGTAAGAAACGTGATTTTACATTCACATATTTCATCTTATCTAACGCAGAAAGGATTGAAGTGTGCAGGCAAGCTTTCTCTATTCTGTATGATATAAAAAACAATGCAATTTTTCGTCTGACAACTATCCTTTCTAAGGGAATGCAGCCTCAAGATAGACGTGGTCAGCATCCAAATCGTGGTAACTCGATGCCTAATGATATACTTCTTGCTATTGACGAACACATTAAGTCGTATCCGCTAAAAGAGTCGCATTATAGCAGCAAGCATGTTCAGTACCTAGATGCTAGTTTGAACGTAAAGATCATGTATGAAATGTTTTGCACTAAGCACCCTGATCTTCAAGACACTGTCAAATATGATTTTTTTAGAAAATTGTACAATGAAAACTACGGTTTTCGATTTGGACGGCCACAAGTCGACGTTTGTTCGACTTGTGAAGACCTAGAGACCAAAATAAAAAGTCCGACTCTTAATGATGTTGCTAAGCGTGTACATGTAGTAGAAAAAATCGTTCACTTGAAACGTGCTAAAAAATTTAACAGCAAACAACAAGAAATTTTAGCATTGTGTAAAGAAAGGGCAGATGTCGGAGCAATCGTTTTCGATTATATGCAAAATTTGCCGATTCCCAAAATTCCCGTACAAGAGATGTTTTACTTAAGAAAGTTGTGGCTCTACGTCTTTTGTGTTCATGATTTGAAATCAAATACTGCCAACTTCTATACGTACCACGAAGGTGAGGCTAAACGAGGTCCCGACGAAGTTTGTAGCTTGTTGTGGAAAACTATTCAAAATATTGACCCAGCTGTAAAGGTACTTCACGTGTTCAGCGACGCTTGCGGGGGTCAAAACAGGAATAATACCCTCGTAAGGTTTTTCCTCATATTGATATATCTGGGTCGTTTTGAGAAGATACATCAATATTTTCCAGTACGTGGGCATTCATTTTTGCAATGCGATCGTAACTTTGGTACTGCTAAACGCCTGATAAGAAAAAAAGACAGGATCTACACCCCTGACGTATACAACGATATGATATCCACGGCTAAAAAGACAGGATTTTCAGTCACGAACATTACTTCAGAAGATATTCTGGATTTCAAGAAAACTTGGCCATTATACTACAAAAAAACGTCGAAATCAGTTGACAAAGCTTCGACGTTTACCATATCCAAGTATCGACACTTAACGTACAGTGCATCACACAAGGGATATTTGACTGCACGTGAATACATTGACGGACTGGTGAAACATCACTTTTTATTACAGAAAAATAATGTGCACCCCGCATTGCCTGAAAATAAAGCATACACTGGTAAAATACCTATTAATCACAAAAAAATGGTAGATATTCAAAAGATCGTTCAGTACATACCGCATGAAAATATAAATTTTTACGAAACCATACTTGCGTGGCCAACAACAACTGCCGAAACACCTGATAATGACGAAGACTAACGTGTTGAGATACTATTGTTTGTAATAATTAAATAAAAAAGAACATTTGTGTACAAATTTGTTTGTTATTTAAATGCCCATTTCATAAGTTGTATAAAGGGAATAAATCCAAGCTCTTTAAATCAAAATATCTCAAAAACTAAATAAAATTCAAGTCTTTTCATTGTATAATAAAATTAAGATTACCCTACACTTTAAATCACCCATAAGTCAAAAACAAAAAATATAAGAAATGTAGAAGCTAGAATGTTTTTTTCGATTTCCCAAAAAAACACTTTTTGGATTTATTTCCTTTATACAACTGGTGGTTCAAATAATACCTTTAATTTCAAAACGTCAAAGTTGCCAAAGTTGATACGCTAGGTGTCGCTGAAGTGTTACATTTAAGCATTATTTAATATTGTTTCAGTGCGCATTTAGTCAAGTGATTTCTAGCAATATTGGAGCGAGCAGAATAGGTCTCAGCAACGCTGGAGTCAATAGCCTGAACCTTAACAACATTGCTGGAGTTACCAGTGCCAGTCTCAATAATGCTGGAGTTAGCAGCATCGGTCTTAACAACGCTGGTATTAGTGGGATTAGCGTTAACAATGCTGGATTAGTCGGTGCTGGGATTGGAAGCAGCAGTTTAGCAGGCGTTGGCGTGCAAAACGTGGCCGCCAACGCGGCTGTGCCAGTCACCGGCCCGTTCACCGCCACTGGCAACGCCGAGCTCGCTGTAGGTGGAGAGTTCAACGCAGGTGGTACAGCCGTAATCGGTGGTCAAATCCCAGTTCTTGGTGCGGTCTCCTTCACTGGCCAAATACCCGCCAGTGGAGTCGTGTCCATCGCGGGCAACTGTGGATGCAGCAACGTACCTCTATAATTGTTAGTGTTATCATAAAATAAAGTTGTTATTTAGTTTTTGTCCTATATTTTTTACTGTTTTTGTCTACAGTCCTGACATATCTATTTTTTATTATTGATTGACTGATATCGTACTTTCTTCAAGTCTTCCTTTTCAATTATTTCCTTATTTAGACGTATTTAGTTTTATGACATAAGATCATAATTAACAATTATGATTTTGATGAAGATAGATCAGTTCTTTTTTACTAATAGTTCTAAACTAAAATTGTTTCTTTATTAAAAAAGCAAAAACTTTTTCAAGAATCGTCATTCGTCATTCATCGAAGAAGAATTTTTTATATAAAAATTAAATATTTTATGGAAGTCAACAAATTCAAGAAAATTTATTTGTATTGAAGCGAGGATTTTTAAAGCCTATTTGAATGTTACTACTTACTGTGATAATTTAAAAATTACTACACGCTTATTGATAATATTCTATTTATATAAAAGAATGTAATACAATATTAAATTTTGAAGAATCCAAGTTTATGATGTTAGATATTTTGCAAAAAAATAGGCTTGTGTCCTACAAGTGATAATACATGTATTCTGTTTTATGTTCTCAAAATATAAACTATTTGAACTTAAAAGTATTTAACAAAATTAATTAATGGTACTACTTTTTGATAAGAAACTTGAAAAAAGTGGAGAAAATATATTATAAAAATATGCTAATATACATTAATGAGTAATAAATTAATTACATAAAACGTGACAAATTTCATTATAACAGTTATAAACATAAACGCATAATTAAGAAAGGTATTACAAAGATTGCCCAAATTAATTACATAAAACGTAACAAATTTCATTATAACAGTTATAAAAATAAACGCACAATTAAGAAAGGTATTACAAAGATTGCCCAGAAGCCCATACATTTTTCGCTACAGTCGCACTGTGTGACGTAACTTAGTGCCTTGAATTTGTAGGGATCGTTTTCGGCTGACTAGCAGTAGTTCTACAAACATAGCACCGTTTCTCCAAAACTATTAATTGCAGACATGCTGTTACTTATTATATGTTTCTTAGATATAAATTGACTATGAAATTACAAAAAAAAAAAAAGTCAACTAGGCTGTTCAAGCCGCTAAAGATTTTTAGGAATAGATAGATTCGCACAAAAAATTCTTTAATTAAACGAAATATGTTTATTAAACTTAGATGATGTAATAGCTCCAATAAAGTAAAGCTTATTTTGTGGCAATATAACGATTATAAAAAAATAGAAATGCCTTCAAACATTAAAAAAGTGATAAATAATACGTATTTTAAAAGAGACTTTTCTAGAAATGTTATTGTATTCTTAATCACTTTTTTAATTTTTTGCATTTAATTTAATTTTTTTTGAGGATTTTATTTCATGCTTTTTATAGATATTAATATTTTTATAAAAAATCAACATAGTGAAAGTGTTATGAAACGAGATTTTGTTTATTTGCTCGATATATTTTGTTCTAATAAAATCTATACTCATATTATAAAGAAGGAAAATTTGGTTGCCTGTTTGTTTGTTTTGGATAGGCTCTGAAACTATTGGACCGATTTATAAAAGTCTTTCATCGGCGCAAAACTACATAATACGCAAAGGACATGCGCTATAATTTACGTAGTGGAAGTTGCAGGGAAACAGTCAGTTTAATAGAATTTGGTTCGCATTTCAAGAAGAAATCGATGAACATATAACCACCTACTTTCATAAAAAATATACATACTCCTTGAATATAGAAAATCCTCCTTTCGGATTTCGATTGAATTCAATTTTTTAGTTGAAATGAACGTCTAAATATTTAGGTGATATCTGCTGAAAAGCGTATAAAGGAAAATTACTGATTCGTTTTCGACTAAGTTCGACCTCAGTCCATTAAGCTGTTGAATAAAAAAAAACTTTCTACAAAAAACTCGGTCTACTATTGGCAGAAATATCGGTGATAACACATAAGAAAACATCCGCCGTCAAACATATAACCTCCTTCCTCCTTTGAGATTTTAAAAATATTCAGTATATTTTCAAATCACGTTTTACTTTACTCGAGTCTTATTTTTAACTTGTTTACGTCACGTTGCTTTTGCGATGAAATTCACGTGTTCTTGGAAGCAATGTTCAAATCGTACTCTTTCAAAATAAACATAAAGAATATTGATAAAGGTGAAACGAACTAGTGTAGGTAATTTAATAATTCACCAGCAGATTCGTATGCAGGATTTACACGTATGAGTTGAGAAATAGTTAACTAAACTGTTCACTTAATTTTATAAGTAGTTAACAAACTAAACGACAGTCAAGTAAAATTGAGTGAACAATTTTACTTGACTGTCGCTGGTTTACACGTATTAAGTAGTTAACTATATTTTAAGTGAGGTTGGTACGTGTAAACACACAGTTAAGTATAAATAGCAAGATAAAATTTAATTAACTTTTTATCTACTTAATATGTGTAGACAAGCGATTACACGCTTTTCTGTGACTTAGTTATAAGTTGACTAGCTGTTTTCGCGATAAAATTTATCCTTCGTTTTTTCCCTAGGCACACACTAAACTTCATTAAATTTCATTAAACTTGGTTGAGTAGTTTAGGCATGAAAACATAACAGACACACAGAAAGAGTTACTTTTGCATATACAATATTGTAAATGCGAAAGTAACTCATCCGACCGCGGTCTGATCGATGTAGGTTGAAAGTTATACATATAATAAAACTTAGATAATGTGATGCTGGTATCGCGGCACCACCTCGTGACTATTTGTTGTAACTCGAAGCATTTCTCTTGCTATTGATCTTAAATAACAATGCTTGTTCTATATCTTTAGACAATAAGTTACATTTTGCTTTCATATAAAAATTAATTTTAATTTATTTTCCTGCTGGAATTGTTTTAACTATAAATAAGTTCAGATTTAATCCACGTTTTACAGTTTTCAGCAACTTTATTTATGCAGGTATCTTTAATACTATTAGTTTAGATCTAAGAGATGGGTAATTAAAAAGTTCCATTATATAAAAAAGAAAAAATAAATTGCAGAATAGTTTTAATAGAAAAGTACTTACTTTAACCGCACCGATGGTTTAGCAGTTCGCATGGTTTGATTTTTACAAAGGTACAGTAGAACAACCACAGTTGCCAGCAATAGAGACGAGGCCACTGGCTGGTATTTGTCCAGATAAACCGACACCGCCAATAACTGGGATCTGTCCACCAATTACAGCGTTACCACCTACGTTCATGGAACCTCCGACAACGAACTCACCCTGACCGGTAGCGGTGAATGGGCCGGTGACGAGAACGGATGAAGTGGCCGCTACATTAGCTACTCCTAATACCACATTGGGTAGTCCTACTCCCACATTGGGTACTCCTACCGCCAAATTGGGTACTCCTACCGCAAAACTGGGTACTCCTACCGCTGCATTAGGTACTCCTACTGCCACTGGACCAACACCGGCGAGTCCGATGCCGGCATTGCCGAGACCATATCCAGCTAAACTATTGAGACCGAGACCGCTAAGACCAAGACCACGAAGACCGAGACCAGCGGCACCGATGTTCAGAGCATCTAGTTCAATTCCAACGTTGCTAGAGCCATAACCAACGCCGAGCGGCGCTACACCGAGCTACGGAGCCACACCGTACCCGAGACCGGCATCAGCACCGGCACTGGCAAAGGCGTCAATATCGATTCCACCGTATCCAATGTCATAAGGAAGTCCGAAACCCAAACCAGCACTGGTAAAGTTATTTAAGTCGACATCAATTCCAGCACTGCTATAACCGTAACCACCGTAACCGTAACCAGCGTTGGCAAAGCTGCCAGCGTTGATATGGATGTCACTGCCACTGTATCCGAAGCTACCAGGATAATCAGCGCCAGCGCCGGCAAAAGTATTAGCATCAATATCAACGAAGGCACCACTATTAGCGTAGTTATTAAAGCCTAAAGGAGCGGCAAAAACTAAGACCATTTGGGAGCTGTCCAAACACGTTCTGTAAAGAAAAAGAAAACTTTTAATAAGTTCGGTAAGTGAAAAGTCGTACATACGGAGCGCATATATACTATTCAACAAAAGACCATGTAAATTAGCGGATTAAAGCTTGGATGCACAATAAGAAAATCGAAAGTTAAAAATTGAAAGGTCAAAATGATTGTAATTATTCATTCACTCACAACCAGAAGCACGATGACATGGTTATATTTGAACTGTAATTGTAACTGAGGCTAGGTAACTCTCGCAAGGATCGAACATATAGCAAAAATAAAAATATATATTTCGAACTGCTTCGTGCTTTACAATCATTAACTGGATCGCAGTGATTGACGAATTAATACTACGCAGAGAAACCAAAAGAGGAAAACGTTATCTAAAGATAGACCAAGTGTATTGCTACCTGGATCAGGCATGCTTGAAAACACAACAAGAGGAAGGCAAAAGTGGACATAATGCTGATTCAGTTGCAACAGAACTGCCAATATCCTTCAAGAATAAGATCGATGTTTACATATTTCTGTATTCAGATAAACAGTAAATTTTGTAACACAACACGTGTCATGTACATTATTCTATTATCAGAAAAGACCTGTTAACACATTTATTCCATTTACAATTATTTCTTAATTGTACCACAATTTCATTAAAGATAAAACACTCGCAATTAATATAAAAATAACATTTAGGGTCGATATAGTCATCATTAATTTGACAAACTTATGAAAAAAATGACTGCTAAAACCATCTTCTTGTGTGCTTCGGCTCTGTTTGTTCAGGTACATTCAAAATATTTTATTAAATAAATTATGGATGTAAAATAAACGCAAATATTTAACCCAGCTTGGTTATTATTTTGGAATATTATATTTCCAACATGTCATAATAAAAGTACACCCATCTATACATTTACGTTTTTTTTTTTCAGAGCGTTTTGGGCCAGTCTTACTTCTCCAGCAATTTGGTTAGCCCCGGATTAAATTCACTTGG